AATGACTTTGGGCCAGTTACTCAACCTCTCTGTGCCTCCATTCCCTCATGTGTAAGAAAAGGATACTAACAGCGCCTCCTTAAAGGGCTGTGGTGAGGATTATGTGATGAATTATATCCAGTCCCTGACACATAGCAAGTGCTCAACAGATAATCGCTAATATGTATTTGCTGAAGAACATAGTGGCATAGATTTCTGGCTCTAGAATCAGATCAGCCACTTGATTCAGTTCTGGCTCCACCCACTTACTAACTTTCTGGCACCGGGCAAGTCACTGAACCTCTCTGAACCTCAGTTTCTTCATCTGTAAAATGTGAGTCCCAGTAATACCAACCAGAAAACATTTTTGCAAAGATGAAGGGAGAGAATATCTGCAGAACACTTAGAATACTGCCTGATAGGGGGCAAGCACTCAGAAAATATTAGCTATTATGACTATCGTTAGCAGTTTACAAAGTGAAGTCTCACATTATCTCAGAGGATCTTCCTCCTTTCTCACTGCCTAGGAGAGAAAGCAACCGCCATTGCCTCCTCTTCACAGCTGGGGAAACTGAGCCACAGGCATGGAGATGAATGAACTACCCAAGGCTTTGTCTTTGGTAAATAGCTCGAGCTTAGAGACATTCAGGTCTCCTGACGACCAACCCTTTGCTTTTCCCAGGTGCCACTTCCCTAAACCATCCACACCAGACTACGAGCTGAGCCCTGACTAGGAGGGTGGTGGCAGCCACCTCCCCACCATCAGATTCACCACCAGATTCACATCCTCAGCGGGCCACCCGTGAGTTCAATCCCCAGATGCCAGCAGAGGGCAGCATTGCCCTCCAAGTCTCCAGCAGCTGCGCTCCAGAGAGGAATTTGACATCAGTGCCCCCTGTTTAGACAAGGCTTTACCAGCGCCTTTGAAACCCGCGGCCCCCGGAAGGTGGAAGCCGGAGGTGTTTCCTACCAGCATTCCAGCCGCTGGCCCGTGCGGGGTTGCGGGAGAGGCGCCAGCGCCTCCCAGTCGCCGTCCTTTGCTGCAGAGAGCAGGGGCACTTCCGAGGGTCAGCACTGGACACCGCGATCCACACTGGGTCACAGGCTGCCCGTGGCCACCCAGCGAGTTGGTGGCAGAGCTGGGTCCAAATGCCGCGCGCTGTCCGCTCACGAGCCTAAATTCCCCCCCTGAACGACGCCATCTCCCACCTAGGGCTCTACCCTGCCCCTCCCTACCCCTTCGGATCTCTGTCCCTGGGGCAGGAACCCCAGTGAGCCGAGGTCTAGAACCGACGGGCATCCATTGCGTTTGCCCCGCGGCGGCCAGAGCGGGCTGACCGAAGCCGACGGCCAAAGTCCGCCCGCCCGCCGCCTCGCCGGTTGTCCCAGCCCCTTCCAGGGTTCCAGCAGCCGCCGGAGCATGTGGCAGATGCCCCGGGACAGAACCCGGTGCGCAGCGCGCGGTGCCGGAGACGGCAGGACCAGGACAGGACGAGACGGGAAGAAGCCGAGCGGCCCCCTGCGGGAAGGGGGCTAGAACCGGGCGGGGGCCTCGAAGCCACGGGCTTTGCCCCTCGCGGCGCGCACCAGCGTCCCGCGCGTCTGCCCGCGCCCCTGCGCTGCTTCCCCCCCACACACACCCCCCATTAGTGCCGGCTAATTCAGCGCAGCCGGGGTCCCCGAAGTGCCAGCCCACTCGTCTTGCCGCTTCCCCCACCTCTCCGGGAGAAGTGAGGCCCCGCAGGAGACCCAAAGCCGGGAGGGAGGAACCCCAGGAGTTCCGCGATCCCCGACCCCTGAGCCACGTACCGTCCCCCGCAGGCTCCTCCACAGCTCCAGCGCTTGGGGCCGTGAGCTGTCCCGATCGAGTCAGCAGCGATTTGGGGATCTTGAATGAGCTGGAAGGAAGCGGCTGCGAGCAAACCCCGCGCCCCGCCGGGCCAGCCCCTTAAAGGAACACACGCCCCTTTCCCTCCCAAGGGCTGGGCAATCTGCAGAATCGGCTGGGGACCACTCCCGAACCGCTGCTTGCCGAGCTGTGTGAAAGGAGTGTCCAGGAGTTGAGGTTGTCACATCTTGGGGGAGGATATGAGTGGTGGGTAAAGAGGAGCATCTGTGGAGGGAGTCGCATTAGAAAGCCCTGGTTTACCAAAAACAGTGCTCCCTCTCCAGCACACTGCAGGTGGGCTATGGCTGCCTGACCTTCATTCAGGAGAGGGAGAAGAGGTGAGTGGTCCGTTTTCTCCAGGCCTTTCCTTCACCCCCACAAAATGCAAGGAGCTGACATCCTCCTGACCCTGAGTTTGGCCATCATGAAATCACCAGCCAGATTCTCAGCTCAGTGTCAGGCAGAGTAGATGCTCCCCCAGTAGGTGGGGCTTGCATGAGTGGCCCTGGGGAGAAGAGGAGTGAGGAGGCACAGGATGGGGTGCTCCCAACAGCCCACAGGGGCAATCGGGCTTCTGACTGATCCTCCAGCAGGAGCAGGGCCCTCCCTTATGAATCCTGCCATCTGTCAGCAAAGCCATCCAGGCAGCCACCTCTCAGGATGCCTCTGTTTGGACAGGGTGTTTTCTTTCCCGTCCAGACCAACAGGGGCCCTAGCCTGGATGGCCCCATTGTTTCCTCAACAGGAAAACCTAAGGAAGTCCTTCGGCCTTGGCTGAGAGAAGGGTCAGGGGGTCACAGAGGCCAGAGAGAGAGAGAGAGAGAGAGAGAGAGAGAGAGAGAAAGAGATAGAGAGAGTGCATGCATGCATGCGCACGTCTTACACACAGCTGAGAGCAAATCAGAGCACAGAGAACTGCAGTGGACTAGAGGGTAAACTGCACCTAACATGAATGCCAGTCTTGATGGACAAAAGGGAGCCAATGAAGGTTCCTCTACAGAGAAGAGACATGTCAGGCCACTGTGTGCAGCATGGTGGGGGGTGGGGGTGATAAACAAGTCTCGAAGACCAATTAGGAAACTCTTGCAAGCTTCACTGAGGACGCTGGCCGAAGCTTCTGAGGCCTCTGACAGGGCCAGGCTCTGCAGCGGTGCTTCTGCGCACTCCCTCCTTTAGTCCCCACAAGGCCACCAAGTCTGTCTTGTTTATTTCCATTTTGCAGATGAAGTGAGGAGCAGAGAGGTTAATTGCTCAAGGTCACTTGGAGTCAGGGTTTGAGCCCAGGTTGTCTGACTTCAGGCTTGGCACTCCTAATCACTCTACCATGTCTAAACCAGAAACAGAAAGGAGCCGAGACTCCTTGGAGAGTCGGGGTCAACAGGTCCCAACGCTGACAGCCACAGGTGTAAGGAGCAGGGTAGACAGAAGGGAGGGTCAGTTTTGTTACAATAGGGCAAGTTAATGTGCAAACCAGGGGTAGGGGTGGCCAGCAGTTGGAATCTTAACACTGGCTGTCTGGTCTGTGGTCAGGAAGAAGAAAGGAAATTCGTGGAGGTGATGGTAAAAGCTGTGGAAATGGAAGACACTGCCCAGGGACAGGAGCCAAGGAAGGAAGAGGTCAGGAGTGAGGAGACTCAAGTCCAGGGTCACAGGAGGGGGGACTTTCAGACAGCTGTGGCCAACCCATCCAAGGCTACAAAGATGAGAGGAAGAAGGGACTGAGAGGTGGCTTAGGCAATTCCAAAGTCACCTCAGATCTCCTGGGCCAGGTGGGGGCCCTGTGGCACCTGTCCACCAGTCCACACAGCCTGTTAGCCAATGAGACTGGCCCACAAAAATACTCAATGTGGTGAAAAGGGTAGGTTAACAGATGGGAGTGAAGCTCTCGGTTTCCCCTTCTGCAAGGAGGACTCCTGGGTTCCAGCAAGGCTCAAACTACAGTTAGTCACTGGAGAGGCAGAACCACCCCAGAGCAGAGATGCTGAAGAAAGAGGCTTCTCCCACTGTCTGCTAGTCCCCAGAGGAGGACAGAACAGGGGCTGGGGGTAGAAAATGCTCCCAGGAAGGAGTCCTGAGGCCAGCAACCACTCAGAAAGACCTGACTCCAGACTCATCCACACAGCTCCACAACAGGATGGCTTGGAAACAGGAAGGAGTAGGCTGAGGGAGCCCCAGGGGTGGGGAGTCCCACACCGCCAGTTCATATGGAGACCACTGCCTCGGCCTTTTATTCTGTTCCTAACCAGCCAAGAAGTCTTGGCAACTGCAGCTCTCAGGAAGGAGCCACTTCCAGACTAGTTTCCCTGATGTGGTTCCAGCAAGCCCACACCCTCCCTTCAGCAGCCACGTGGCCCAAGTGCTGCCCAGGCTGCCCAGAGGCACCTGGTGCATATCACAGCATGGCTCCCAAAGGTACGTCACCCTTTTCCCAGCTGGTCAGTTCCTCCTCCATCTGCCAGCCCCTCCCCAGATCACCATCGGGGCCCGCACCACCCCCACTGGCCACATCTTGATGGCCCTGCTCAGGGGAGGGCAGAGAGGGTACCCAGGAGCTCTCCTCCCAGCCCTGCAGTGCACATGCCAGTGGTCCCCCAAGAACCAGTGTGCTTGGGCAGGAGGCCTTGTGCCCACTTGGCAGAGCCCTGGCCCCCTCCTACCACCCCACACTGCACCCCACCCCAAGGCCTCCCGTAGCTCTGGAAGCAGCCTGGGCCCACCGGGTTTCTAATAGTTTCTCCAGCCCACTGCTCCACTTACAGAGAAAATGGAAATTGCCAGAGGGGAGACCCAGCGGCCAAGGCCTGGCCTGTCTTCCTGGTGTGGGAGGGGCAAAGGCATTCATGGAGACTACCTTTGTGCCTGGCTCCCATGGGTCCCTCCCCAGGGCTGGATAGGTACAGACAGAGGCGGCGAACGGAGAAGAGTGAGGTCAGGTTGCGAGGACTGAGAAGTCCTGACCCCTCCAGTAGGAACTCTCCCCAGTAGTCTCCCTCCTCCTGCTGTTAAGCTATTTGTAGTTGGGCAGGTAACAGAACGCTGGGGGGCTCAGGGAAGATTGAGGGCGGGGTGGGGGCAGGGGCACCAGCATGGGTGAAATCCCATTTCCAGGAGCAATGACAAACCACAGCAGGAGTTCCAGTGGAGAATATAAATATATTTAGGAAGCTGCCTGTGTGCTCTGGGGTGCAGAGCCAGCACAGAGGGGCCCCCCACGCCTACCCACCTCCTCCCCAACCTTGCTCCAATCTCTCTCCATAGACCCGACCCGCCCCCTTCTGTCTTTCCAGGCTTCAGAACAAGGGTCAAGAGAAGTCTCCAGGGAGATAAGGGGGAAGTGTCTGGGGGGCAGCATTATGCTGCAGGGCTGACCGGCAGGAGGCTGTTATCTCCAGCCTGGCGCCTCAGGCCCTGCCTCAGGGGGCATGGAACGGGACATGGAATGTGGTGTGTGGAAGAGGAGCTGGGAAGACACAGAGGCCCTTTGGAGTCTGGAATCAGGGATCTGGAGACGTGCAGGGAACCCACACCCCCTACTGCACCCTTCCCTGTCCATCCCAGACCTACTCACCTAAGCGACTGGGATGGCACAAAGGCTGGGTGCCAGGGACAGGTGGGAGGTGCAGGGAGCGGTGTCTGGGGTGCTTCCTCTGAAATCCCGCTGCCCCCTCCGGCCCCAGCCCCACCACAGTCAGGAGGGAGGGCTAAGGAGACAGCAGCCCCACAGAAGGCAGGAGCACCAGGGGAAGGGCAGGTGTCTCCACGGCCTCAGCGGTCCTTCTGGCCACTTCAGCTGGGCCTACCACTAACAGCCCAGCAGTTCCAGGCGCAGGGTGATGCGGTTGTGCCAGGCGACGGGCAGGACACGCACAAAGCGTGCCAGGAAGGGTCTCTCAAACAAGTTCTTCTTGTGGGAGTTGTTGTCCGAGTTGCCAGGGAAGATCTACAGGCAGAGGAGGTGTCAGGAGGACCCCAGAACAAGCCCCTTCCCCTCAGAGCCCCAGGAGTGGCGAGAGGAGGGAAGCTGGACAGACACCCACCTTGCTGTCGATGGCCCCTTGTTCCTTATACTCGGTCCACTTCAGGCCATCGTCACTGTAGGCCACTTTGTAGGCTGCCACATACTGGATGTGGCCAAAGTCACGGGCACCCTGGGTCACAATGCCTGTCACCTGCTTCTGGGAGCCCAGGTCGACCTATGGGAGAAACCAACAGCACTTTGCAAGGACCATCTCCAGGAAGGTGGAAAGAGGCAGACGTGCTGGGGTGTGACTTTAGTTTTGGGAGAACTACTTTACTTGGCTGAGCCTCAGTTTCTTCATCTATAAAATGGGCACATCTACTTTGCCACACACTATTAGGCACTTCACTGCAATAAAACATATATTTCAGCATCTGGAAACCGGTCAACTCTACGCCAGCCCTGCCTCAGACCTGCGTTAGAGTATGATGGGAACAGGGACAGGAGAGGCCAGAGCCTGCAGGGGCATGAACTGCTCTAGAGGCCCCCTGCAGGGCTGCCCACAGCCTTACATTGGCCCTGAAGGAGTCCAAAGGCAGGCTGCTCCTCATGGACCCCGACACCATAGCATGCTCCTTAGGGCCTACAGATAGACCTCCCATCCCCAGCCCCTGACCACCCTGGGAAACCTGCCAGCTGCCCCTGGACAGGCAGTCCCAAGACCCAGGTTGCAAACCCAAGTTAATTGCCACCAGCAGGTGAACCCCAGGCAAATCCTTGTCTCACCAGGACTCAGTTCCCTCATCTATAAAACAAGCTCTGGTTTTTCATGACTCTCTTGTGTTTCCCAGTTTCCATGAAATCCAAGGACTGTGCCGTGGTGGGTTCTCAAGCACTGAGTCAGAGAACACCCGCCCTGTGCTCAAGTGGGAGACGCCTGGGTCAGGTCTCCCTCCTCCATCCTACCCTGCTGTCCTGGGCTGAGCCTTGTCAACCCTGTGGCAGCCAGTGGCATAGTTCTACCCCTGTACGAACACAAATACACATACGCGTGCACACACACACACACACACACACACACACACACACACACACACCCTTTCTCCACCTGGGGGGTCTTGGTGGAAGCAGGAGAAGGAGAAAGGTGGGGCACATGGGAGGAAGAAAGAGAAAAGCCAGAGAAAAACAAAGCTCTTCAGAAACTCTCTTGGGGAGCAGAAGCCTGGACTGAGCGGAGGTCAAAGATGTGGCAGCCCCACCCAATCTCAGCAGACCCCGCCCTGCATCCCAGGAGGGGCCTGACCCACCTGCAGCCACTCAGAGGCACCGTTGCTCTGGGCAGTCCATGCGTTGAACTTGCCCTGCTTGTCCAGCCGCCCGTAGAAAGGGTACCAGGCGAAGGCAGGTAGGCCCCAGGTCTTGAAGGTGCTGGAGGCCGTGATCTGCTTGTCAGGGATGGTGTCATCCTTCAGGCCCAAGGGTCGGGAGCATCCTGCCAGCAAGGGGGGCTGTCACCCAGATCTAGGATCCAGAGCTCCCAGGGGTGTAAGCACAAGGTGATGAAGGGGGAAGAACTCTGCAAATCCTGACCAGCCCCTTGGTCAACATCCCCTGGCATCCCCTTGGACGACAGAAAGAAGCTCCATCTGCCTTTCGGAGCCAACTGTCCACTCACTCCTCACCTCAGCCGGCTGGTCTCAGCTCCCACCCCGTCCCAATTTGCCCCTCACACATCACCCAAGACCTCCCACCCTCCAGTTTTCTCCCTCTGCACTAAGGCAACCCCTACTCCACCACCTCCCACGCCCTTTCAAGGCCTGACTTGCGAGACACCTCCTCCAAGAAGCCTGCCCTGACCATCTCACTCCTCGTCTGGACTCCCTCCATCACTCCCATGGCACAGCTGCTATCCACACCACTGACTTCTGAGATTATTGTCAAGAACATTAATAACAACCACCTCATTTATTCCATGCTTACTTCAATCATTTCATTTGCCACCAAAACAAACAAAAAACATGAATGAGATAGGTATTAGTAACCCACTGTACAGATGAGAAAACTGAGGCCGGGAGACATCCGCAAACTCCTGACCACCACGCCATGTTGTGACATCATCTCCACCATCCAGGCACCCCACCTGGACCCGTGAAGGCCCGCCTGGTGGCGACCCAGGGATGAACAGGACAACACTCCTGCCCTCTAGCAACTAGAATTTAGAGAAGTCAGAGAACTCCCGGGGCTCAGGAACATTCTGCCTCCTTCTCCAGCAGCCTCAGCTCTACGAGAGGGCCTTCCACACACCCAATAAATGTTTTTTAGGTGCTGTCACACAGGTCTGTGAGGGCTGGCCTGAGAAGCCGGCCTTCGTTTCACACGGGCCCGTCCCAAACACCCGGGAATGTGCTGGGCTGTTTCGGTTAGTAACTGCGCCTGCACGAGGCCAGAGCAGTTGGGGGTGGGCAGGAGATACAACTCCAAAGAGAATGGCGGGTGTGTCTCACGCCTTGCAGAATCCCCGCTCCACAACTGTCGGTCCCTTTGGGGAACGGAGGGGGGAGTGGGCCTGGAATGCCGTGCCTCCACCGGGGCAGGCTATATGACATGGTGCTTGACATCACCGTCCCTCACATACATGCTCCCTTGCCGCTAACAGCATGTACCTCCCAAGTGTGTCAAGGATGCCTGCCAATCACGCCATCACCTCATAATGGTGGTGCACCAGGTAACCACCACCCTCCTTCCACAAAGAGAGGTACTGCGCTGGGAGCTAGCTCGTCCCTTGGCTCCAGAGCACAGGAATCCTAAGACAGGCAAAGCCGGGGTAGCTTTGCAGAGGACACCAATTCTGCATCATTTGTTTGAGAGGGACCCATCACAGGTCATCTGCTTCTAGCAATTCACGCCACCCTCACTCTAGGTCTTGCCAGGAAGTCAGGTAGACTTGCAAGTAAAATGCAGTTTGGAGGGGCACCAGGGCAAGGACCAGGACTCTCAGCAACATCACTCTCCAAATGACCCTAGAAGTCCCTTCCGCTCTCTGGACCTCAGCCTCCCCATCTGTGAAATGAGGTATTGGGGTGGTACTTCTCACAGATTGCCTGGGGATGTTGTTAAAATAAATATTCTGTCAATACCCTCATTCTAGGGTAGGGCTCTATGTCTGAATTTCTAGGAAGCTCCTAGGTGATGCTGATACTGCTGGTCAATGGAGCTCATCACCCGCCAAGCTTCCCCTCACTCTAGGTTCCAGCCCCACTAGCCTTCTCTCTCCATCAACATTACCCAGGGCCTTTGCACTTGCCAATTCCTCACCTGGAATGCTCTTTCCAAGTTCTTCCCGTGACTGGCTCTCCATCATTCAAGCCTCCACTCAAAGGCCATTCCAACAGAGCAGTCCCCATGCTGCCCCCTCCCCTCATCCCAAGTTACCCTCTTCACATCACCCACTAGGGGCTATCTGACCTTTCTTTTATTTGCTCCTCGCCTCCAGTCTCCCTCCCTCACTAGAGTGCAAGTTCCATGAGGTCAAGGACCTTACCTGTATTGTTCCCTAGAGCCAGGTACTCAGGAGGAGCATTATAAATACTTTAATAAATATCTATTGAGTTAAATAATTAACCAACTTACCAAGAATATTGTGCCTGCCTGCAAAAAGGAATCCTGGTATAGGGCATCAGTCCCCTTGTGGAACACCCAGACCTCAGCACCACCCATACATGCTCATGGACCATGCTCATAAGCACACACACGTGCACACATGCACCAACACTCCCTCCAGTCAACTAGAATTCCTACAGGAAAAGGAGTCGGTCAAGACCTTGACGGAAGCAGATGGGGCAGCTTTACTTGGAAGGCAGCTGTGATAGGATCATGCAGGCAACTTTAATAGCCAATGGCTTCAGGCTAAGACAGCGAGTGGCAGGGGACTCCACGGAGAGGTGACACAGACCTGACTCAGTCCTTTACCAGTTGCCTAAATTTCCTTTTAACAGAGGCAAAGTCTTTTACTCCCCACTTAAACAAAAGGGCTCAAAAGCCAGGGACCCTGGGAGAGGAAGTACATCGACTTAAGTTAATACTTAAGAAAAGACTAAACCCAGCCAGGCACAGAACTCAGCTCTGAGTGATATAGGGTGGTATCTGAAATGGGGTAACAGGAAGAGGTGCCACAGAGGGGAGAGGGGGGCGAAGGAGGGCAGGTCTTGGGGAAGACAAGAAAGGCCACCAGCCACCTCTCTGCTCCACAGCCCTGCCTAGTGAGGAGTTCCACTGGTGGCCAGCAGGTGGCACTGTGGCTGCGAAGAGAGGGAAATACCCAGACCTCAATAGAGATAGTTGGGCTGAGCTAGGCTGAGAAAAGGGGACAGGGAAGGCCACCTCCTAGCTTTGGCCACAGCCCCCGGCACTCACCATTCACCTCACAGCCAAGGAGCTCGAAGCGGAGAGTGCAGCCCCGGTGGCAGACCACGGGAAACAGCCTCAGGTACTGCACCTCCAGAGGAGTGTGAAACAGGTTGATCTTCAGGCTGTTGTTGTCCACATTTCCCACAAACAGCTAGGAGGGTAGGGGCAAGGTTGGAGGAGTGGGTCAGTGTGGGCAGTCCCCCACCCTCCTGGCGTTGCTTCACCTTCCTCTTCAGGCCCGGAGGTGGAGGCAGGGGTGGGGCTGGGAGGATGGGGAATTAGCGGAGCCACCAGGGGCTCAGACAGCAGCCCTTCCTTTGGCCACCCCACAGCCCTCAACACAGATTCTCTTCTCACACCTTCTTTGGTCATCACGGGGCCTTGGCATAAACCCACCTTTCACACGGGGCCACCTGTAACCTATGGGGTGCCTCTGTGCAAATTAGGAAAAAGCACTCCTTCCTCAGGACACTTTATTATGACAATTTTCTGACAGAAGTACACAAACAGTCAATGTCTATATCGTGAATGGTGTCCACTTAGGAATAACATCCTTAGGACCGGCTCGTGGCTCACTTGGGAGAGCGTGGTGTTGACGACACCAAGTCAAGGGTTAAGATCCCCTTACCGGTCATCCTTGAGTGGTGTATGACCTGCACACCTGTACGTGGTAGCCCCGAAGGCTCACAGTGCAGCCCAGCTCCACCACCACCACCCTCAGTAGGTCACTGCACTACTGTGAGTCCCACTATTCTCAACTATAAAGTGAGACTATTATTTGTAACCACAGAACATGGGCACAATCTGCGTTTCCTAATTTCTGGAAACTAAGATGCACCTGAAGACTCACCTCACGGCCAATCACCCAGGGTACCCTCACCTCACCCGAGAATCTCAGTGCTAAATCCCTAGGGGATGCTGACCACAGCTTCTCTTTAGGGCCCCCAACAAACCCCACCTGGTCTCCAGACCCATCTGCATCCTGGATGAATTGGAAATTGCGTCCATCGAGGCTGTAGGCCACCTTGAAGCTCTTCAGGTACTCGGCACTACCCACGCGGCTGGCACCCTGTGTCACCACACCTGTCACCCGCATCTTCCGCAGCAGGTTCACCTGGACCCGGGCAGGGGAGATGGCATCCCCATCTTCCAGGTTCTTTCCCCCACAAGATGCAGGCCAATGCACCCCCTTCACTGCCCCCACCAGCGGGGAAACAACCCAAGCAGAACAAGGGAGGGGCAGTTGAGCACATTTCTCAGGCTCTAGACCCAGTGCTCAGGGAATCACAGGAGGAGGGGCAAGGCCCTCAGAGGCTTCATCCAGGGCAAACAGCACTTCCACAGTCTGGGGCCTGCCCCCCATCCTGCCCACCCACTCCAGGCCCACTAAGGCTGCCCTCCACTTACAGGTACTTCACCCGTGGGAACCTGCTACCTTGCTGCTGGACCCCCCACTACGAACCCTCCCCTGGCATCCCCCAAATGCACGCACATTCATCTCACCTTCTGTCTTATCACCCCACCCTGGGGCCATCCCTTCTCCATACCTGGATCCAGGGATTCCTATCATAGTTGCTGGCTGTCCAGGCGTTGACAATGCCCGTGAGGTGCAGGCGGGCCAGCTCCGGGCCCCAGCGCTGCAAACCCAAGAAGCCGAAGTACACGGATGAGGCAGAGATCTGCGAGTTGCCAATGGCACCCCCCTCCATGCCCAGCGGCATGAGGCAGCCTGAAGGGAGGGAGATGGCAGTCAGGTGGCCACCCCGGCAAGTTCCAGGGCCCCACTGGGACCCAGAGGACAAGAGAATAAGACAGAGTGACCTCTGCTGAGGACCCAGAACAAACCTCAGAACCTCAGGCAGAGCAGAGACCACAAAGGGACAACGAGGGCCATGCCCAGGAGGAGGTAGTGAGGAAAGGTGCAAGGTGGGCGTGCTGGGGCAGCGAGGGGCAGGGCAGTCACGGAAGCAGGGACCCAGGGCTGCCAGCAGGGTCCAGGCCAGGCTGGCTCTCACGGGGCTGCCGTGACTGGCAGGGGGGGCCTCCCTCCAGTCTGTGGTGGGTGGTCTCGTTCTTATAGGGCATTGGGCAGCAATTACTCTGGTGCAGGAGGAGGGCTGGTGGGAGACCATACTGGCATGACCTCCTTTTCCTCAGAGTCCCCACCCCAACAGGGAGGGGCCCCAGCCCAGCCCCTGGCTTCCCCAGGAGGGTGGCTTTGGGAAAAGGGGTTCCTTGGACAGCAGTGACCAGTACATCCACTACACACAAAGCAATAGGCAAATCTGCCTGGAGTCTTCTAGAATCCCACTGGCAGGAGTTTTCTGGGTGGGGCATAAATACCATCCTGTTTTCCCTGGTACCTTTTGCACCTCTACATGAAGGTCCTCACCCAGCCATCTGTGAACATGCCCCTAGCCAAAGGCCCACTGCCTTCCTCATTACCCAAGCATGTGGTACCAAGGAAAAAGGACAGCAACCAGGCCCACCCACGGGCCCAGCTCCCTCATCCCCCAGGGATCCCCACGGTGTGTGCCAGGCCTTCCAGCAGCCCAGCAGAGGACTCAGGGACAAAACTACCCTTCCCCCAACATCCCAAGCTCATGCTGAGCTCGGTGCTATCACACCCTCACAGGGACAGTGAGGCCCCCAAGACCAGAGCCTGGCGGTGGCTGAGCAGGGACTGGACCCCAGGTCCATCTCCACAACTATCCTCACACCCCACCCCAGCATGTCCACCCTGAGGGACCCGAATGTGCATTCTCTGGGCCTCTAGGAACCCTGCTGGCTCAAGGAACATACCATATACCAAACAAGGAGGGGCTGCAAAAATCCCTCTGAAGGCTCCCCTGTCTGTGTGGTCACCCCCTGCCCCCTGCCCCAGGAGCTACCCCTAGACTGAGAAGCTAGAAGGCAGCTAGGTGGGTCATTCCAGCTCGGGCACACCCACGGTTACCTCCGCGCCCAGCACAGTAATTATCAGGCCCACCTGACCCCGCCCAGGGCTCTGTCTGCCTTAGCAACCCCCCTTCCTGCCCCCCAGATACACATCCTTCCGATGCAGTTATGTTTGGGAGGAGGGGTGCCTTGGATGGCAGTGACCAGTACATGCACTGCACACAAAGCAATAGGCAAGTCTGCCTGGAGTTTTCTAGAATCCCATGGCAGGAGTTTTCTGGGTGGGGTGTAAATACCATTCTGTTTTCAAACACATTTGGCCTCAGCCCAGGGCCCAAGGCATAGGCCATTGGTGCTGCCCTTCTCTGAGGGGAAGGGCATCCCGGGCATTCTACCTGCTCTCCCCGAGGTCCCCAGCCACCCTGCCTCCCAGGTCAGCCAACCTCAGAGCCTATCACCACATCTGCCTGAAGGAGGACAAGATGCTCACCTGCCCCTGCCCAAGATGCTCCATGACTGACAGGCTGGATTGCACAAAACTGGGAACGTCCCACCTAAATCCACCCATCCCTGGGCCTGAAGGGGACCCACCCAGTCCATTGTAAGCGAGGAAGAGTCCTGATGTGGTTGAGAACACAGGGTGGGAGGGACTCCAGCTGGACCAGGAGGGAGGACAGCGTGGAGAGCTGCTGGCAGCGTCGGCTGGGCATCCACCCAGGGCCATTCTGTGGCCAAATGGATAACCCAGCAGGGCAAGCAGGGTCAGCCCTCTGCACACACCGGGCCTCCGACCGCCCAACCGCGAGAGGATGGCCCAGCCTGCCCAGGCCTCTCCCTCTTCCCCGAGCTCTATGATGAGGCCACAGGTCAAACTTGGGCCAGGAAATGTCAGACCCTGAGGCCAAGCCTGATTTACTGAGCTCCTGGGCACCCCCAAATTAAGAATGTGTTTGTTTCCCCTCTTGGTTGAAAATCCCAAGACTTAACCCTAATGTTGTGTGTCTGGTTCATGGTGACTCAGGAAACAACATTCCCATGACCTCTGGGGTGACCACAACCCCTCACTCCCCTGCAGTGACAGCAGGCCTGGCCTACAGTCCCAGGAGAGAGGGGCAGGCAAAAAGAAGCCTGTAGAAGGACAACGGGACCCTTCTCCCCCCAATCCCCTCTCCCTACCTAAATGAGGTTCTGTCCGTCCCTCGATCTCCCCAGAGGCAGCCTTTACACAGGGAGTAAGGCCCACCCACGTCCTGTGCCACCAGGGCTGTGGCTCAGGGCCTGCCCCCAGGAGCGAGCACCTCCAGATACTCACTGATCTCACAGTGGGTGCCCACATAGCCCGGAGGGCACTCGCAGACATATTGGGTGAAGACGTCCCCTCGGTGTTCATTGTCAATCATGTGGCATTCAGCATCATGGAAACAGGGGTTTGGGAAACAGGGACCTGGGGACAGGGAGGCAGGTAAGATGGGCAGGTGATCAAGAAGGAGCTGGGGCTGGAGACAGAAAGCAGCAGATGGGCTTAGCCCAAAAGGACGCTCCACTCAAACTCGGCCCATCATCTCCTCCCTCTCCCCCTCCCCCAATCTGCTTGCTGGAGCCTGAGCCAGCCAGGAGCCAAGGAGGGTCATGGGGAGGTGAACCTGCCCAAGAAAGGAAAGCCCCCAGCTTTCCAAGTGGCCTGGGGGTTTCCAGGGAAATGCTGGCTGACAGTAGGAGAGATGCTGGAGACCACTGCCCACTTTGGGAAGAGCTGGGAGCTGGGGATGTGGGGCGGTAGGCACAGCTCAGGGCAGGTACCTTTCTCAGTTTCGTTGCAAATGAGGCCTGTGAAGCCTGTGGGGCAGAGGCAGTAGAAGGGCACAGTGTCCTGGCCCTCCAAGCAGGTTCCACCGTTCAGGCACTGGCTGGAGTCACAGAAGTCACCTGCAACGGCAGCCCTGTCTCAGAAACAGCAAGCCGATCGTTCAGCAAACATCTGGGGGGCCAACTACCATGTCTGCACTGGCCCTCTGAGACAGAGATCAGGTGCAGCCCAAGCCCCAAGAAGCCATTGGGAAAGAGGCCAGCAAATCAACAGACCCCTGCACAGGAGTCATTGAGGCATGGTTTCTGCCTGGGACAAGGAAGTTTAGCAGAGGTGCAGACATTTGAGCTACCAGGCTGGGGAATGAGGAAAGGACATTCTAAAGAAAAGCAGAGGCACAGAGGGCATGGTATACTGGAGAACAGGAGGATGCGGCTGGAAGGTAGGTTGGGGCCAGACTGGGAGGGACCTTAAGAATGACAAGTTTAGAGTTTTCATCCTGCAGACCAGTGGCTTTTAACCTTCCTTCAGCCTCCCCACCATTGTCCACCAAGGAAAACAATAAACAGAGATTCTCAAGTGTGAGGTGGGAGCAGGGAGGCCCAGTTCCAATTCCGGGCAGGAGAAGGTTGAAAAAGCCCACCTGAGGACATGCCGCTGCACTGGGCTCCCCCGAGGTGGGGAGGGTCTGGTGGCTACAGACAGATCCATCCCTCGGCTGCAGGGTGAAAATCCAATGCAAGGGGGAGGGGACACCAGGACAACATGGTGAGAGAGGACATCAGGGCATGAGGAGGAAGGGTGATTTGAGACACTGGAGCAAAGGCTGAAGAGGTAGAAGGAAAGCTGTAGAGGCCACCAAGTCTTCTGGCTGGGGGCCTGGGGACACATGTACTATGAGCCTCGATGAAGGACATAGGAGGAGCAGGAGCAGGCAGGGGGTAAAACAGGCACTTGGGTTTGCGACCTCAAGGACTGTACAGAGGACAGCTAAGTGGCCCTCAAATCCTGTTCGCCTCCCCACACCCAGAAGGGAGCCCTTGAAGGCTGGGCTCCCACTCACTCTCTCAGAAGCCCACCTTACCCCAGCTGTCGTCAGTCCCCTGACTGGTGCCAACCAGTGAACTGCAGCCCACTGAGTCAGCCCAAGGAGGGTCCTCTAGCTGACCTTAGTATCCCAGAAGGGCTGCCCCAGACCCCACACCTAAACTCGTCATTTGGGATGAGACGTGAGAAAAATTTTTTCCTCCCTGCAGAGTCAACATCTCAGGCTGGAGGGCCCTCCTGAAATCCCAAGGCCACAGAGAGCTCGCCCGGTTCCAGGAAAGACAACACCATTAATGAGCGATCAGCCCTCAGAGCTCCACCTCAGCAGGGGCCTCAGGAGCTTAAGACAGCTCCCAAAGAGCTATTAGTCACTGGCTTTAAATAGCAGGTTAATCCCCTCCTCTGACCCACCAGGCGCTGTCACAGAGCCTTGGGAATGACCGGAGTCCTGGGTTTCTGCCCCAACATGGACTCCTCTTCCTCCACCTCCCAACTGCACCCTCCCTCTTTACTGCTCCAGGACAAAAAACAAAAAAGGTCCAGTGGAAACAAGGGAAAATGAAAAATGTCACTTACGGGGCGAGGCCTTAGACTGACAGGGACTGGGTCACTTGCATAAGGCAGACATGGTGTTCCTCCCTTCCAGAAAAAGACAGATCACCCTCTACAAAACCACCTTGGGATTTTAGAGTCCTGCTCTTTGGGAGATTTCCCAAGGACATCTGGCCAGGGCTCAAGTTGTGGGGACGGAAAGGAGGAGTGGAAAGGGGCTGTGAAGACCCAGCTAAATTTCAGGGTGGCTGGGGAAGGATAGGAGCTCCCTAGGGTTTGGGAGCTCGAAGCACTCTCGAGGCTTCAGCTCCAGCCCTGGGGGTCAGACCGGTCATAGAACGGCAGAGCCGGGGCCCAGCTGTGACCGCTCTTGCTTCAAGCAATCCCATTTCTATAAAAGAAAAAACTGATGGAGGGGCTGCCTAAGAGTCTCCCCGCCTTAGCCCCCAATGGGCACCCCTTGCCCAGCGGCCCCACGGTGAAGGGCATGGGGCATCCCCACCACCGGCCTGCAGGAGACCCACCTGTCTGCTGGAGGCCCTGTAGGCGGGGGAGGGCCAGGACAGATAACAGCAGCCGGCCAAGGCCGCGGGAGGGAGCCACGAGGCAGCCCTCTTCCAAGTTCCTCCCCAGCCTCTGAGCCCCCTCCGGGGCCCCACCTAGAGCCCCCGCTCCATTCTACCGACTCCCTAGCCCCTCCCTTATCTGACCAGACACCGACAAGTGGAGGCGCAAAAATCCTATGAACTGTCCGGCCGGGCGGGCCTAGGAGGGAGCTGCCGGAGAAAAGTTGGCTGGAGAGGACTTCTCAGTGTTAGAGTCCCAGAATCTCCAGGTGGAAGGGGATCCGGAGTCAGACGGCTCACGGGCAAAGAGAAGCCCGACACAGCGGATTCCTTTGTTAGGTGTAAGCCACATCCCTGGGGGCGCCAGGGCTGTCACCCAGTGTCCCGAGTCCCCGCCCAGCGTGCGAGCCTCTATCACTGTCCAAACGCCGGGGCGCGGAGACAGCAGGAGAGGCCGAGCGCATCCCCCTCTCCCGCCAGGGGCAGCCGGAGAAGCCGCCCCTCCGCCCAGCGCCGGCGCTTTGCCCAAGTTTGTCAACAGCGGAGGTGGAGAGAGGGCGCCGCGACCAACTTCCGAGCCGCGCTGGGAGGAGGGGCGAGGGCGAGAGGGCGGCGCGCTCGACTCACCCGACGCGGCGAAGAGGCCGGGGGCGCAGAGCAGCGCGCCGCACAGCGCGGCCAGCAGACGGGGGCCCGG